CCGCGCAGGCGTCGGCGGGCGGGCGAAGGAGCAGGTCCCGCAGCATCGCCGAGCCTCGCAGCCGCATCATGCCGCCGGGTCCGTCAGTGCCCGCTCAACAGGGGAGGATGCTCCGGACGTGGTTGGCCGCTCTCCTCCGGGAACTTAGTCTCCGGCGGGACGGCCAGAGGGCAAAAGAGGGCAGGGACAGTGAGGTGGGTGTGGTTCCGGCTGCGGTTCTCACAGGCGCCGCCGCCGCCGCCGCTACTGCTGCTGCTGCTGCTTCTGAGACTGCCCGGGGCCACTTCTCACACCGCGGAGGACTCCGCACTGAGGCTGAGGCGCAGGGGCGGGCCCGAGACATTCGGCGCTCACCCTCCCGGGGGCGGGAGGACGCCGGCGGCCTGCCCCCTTCGCCTGCTCCGATTAGCTCAGATCACCGACCTCGCTTCTGATTGGTGATTGGAGCAGTCAAATTTCTCTCGGCGCCCGGTGCGCGGAGAGTGGTGCGGAGGACTGGTGGGGGACTTGGGGGAGGAGTCAAACTGACGTGTGAGGCAGGGGAGCCAGGCAGGGCTCCGGAGTAGCCCCTTTTCTGTCGCTTCGTCAGCGCCGAGAGTGCCCTCGTTGGGAACTTGGGCCTTAGTGGTCTCGTCATTTACGAAGCGGATGGGCTCCTGGACTCTGGGGCCTCGAACTGTTTCGGAGACTGATTGGCAAGCGCCCCTGCCGTCCAGGGGCCGACGGTCAGGGGGCTTGGCCGGGGCTGGAGTTTGGCCGTCGGAGCTCGGCTGGTCAAAGCTTGCCGCTGGTCCCCGGCTATCCGGTAAGGGCGTGTGGCGACGCCTCTGAGGGCCGCGGACCCGCGGCGGCAGCCCCAGACGAGCTTGTCCCTCTCCCAAATGTTACGTTTACTTGAAACTTTCCATGGTTGGCGACTGCCCAGATGTGAAGTGTTTTGGAAAAAATGAGCAAAATCCTTTCAGCTATGCGACTTAGCCATTTGGAGGATTGGAGTTCGGGGGACCGCAAAGAGGGGGAAATTCCAGAACACGACGGCTTTCCTTTTTAAAAATTGCTTTTTAAAATGCAAAATTGTAGACACTCTCCTACTTTAAAGCTGCTTCATTGTTGTCAAATAGAAGCATACGGATACTTGTTCTCTAAATCGTTTTCAGCCTAGTATCACTTTATCCATTTATCCTTTTGGACCTGTAGGAAAAGAGTTCCAAGGAGGTGATAAACTCTGAATTTTTCTTTGAGCCTACTCCACGCCAAAAAAAACAAACGAAAACCACAGACTTTAGATGATATCCTGAAGCAATTAGGTTTAAATGCATGGATTCACAAAGGTTACTGGGATAATTTTTATGAAACGGGAAGGGTGTGTGTCAGGTGCATCGTAAACTGATCATCGGATTTAGTAATCATCATTTTAAAATATTGCACTAGATTAGTAATTAGGAAATCTGGTTGTACCTACAAGTTATGTGACCTTTGGCATGTCACAGGCTTGCCATGTTTAAGTTTTTTCTATCTACTCTTTAACCAGAAGAACATGGAAAAAGCTGTATGTGTAGAGTACTTAACCACATTTTTTTAAGTTAAGACAATTGCAAATTATTTAGAGGGATTTTATTACTACTTAATGTTACCTGTCACTAAAATTTGATAAGAGTCAAAGTAACAATATATTCAGGAAAAGGAACATTAAGTTTTGGAGGAAAGGTGACATACTACGTCTGCATAACATTTCCAGTCTGACTTACCAAAGACATAAACCTGAATATTGTTCCTCTCTTAGATATAACTAGTTAAAGGGCTGCCTCCTTTCTCTCAGCCACATCCAAGCTATTGACAAATCCAATTATTATTTTCCTCCTGCTTTTTCTTAGTTTCTCTAATTTTCCTATGAAAATTCTTTCCAGTGTTTAAGGGTTTAAATACTTTATAGTATACTTAACAAATGTAGAAAATAAACCTAGTAAAAGATAATTTTTTAGAGTTTCTACTTTCAAAGATGAGCTGGTGAGAATGGACTGATGTTACCCCTGACATTTAGAAGAACTTCCAGTCTGCTGAAATTTAACCCCTTGTTTGAGAAGACCAATAAAAAGTTAGCAAATTGAAACTACTATAAATTAAAATGTGACTCATTAATACTTTAATTTGATTATTTTCTTCATCTTATATAATTTTTTAAATCTTTAGAGATTTTTTAAATCAAATACAACTTTGGAACTATGAGTTGGAGTTAATTACTATTTCCATTAGGTTAATTATTCACCTATTGAGTCATATAATCATCTAAAATAAAGTCTATCACTGTACAAGCATTTTATACACATACAATAGTCTGCCAAAATTCCTACAAATAGAAAATGGCTCTTCAGATTAACATGTGGCTGGGTTGTCAGAGCTGCTCTTAGACTTCCTCTTTGCTACTAGATACGTGCAGCTATCCTACAATAGGTTGTGGTCTCATAGCCGTTGAGAAGGTAGTCAATCATAGAAAGGAAAAATTGGAATTTTTGCACTTTGTATTTATTCTAACTAGAAGAACAGTTCCTGAGCTTCTGTGTTCTTTTGAAGATTAGAAAAGGCTAATGTTTCAAGATGGTATTGTGACTTACATGTAAGTTCCAGATCTTGCCCTTCATAAAAACTAAAAGGGTAATATCACAAAAACTAAATAGAAAATAATTCTCCTTTGACTAAAAGCTTAAAAGAGTTGCCTAATTTTTTTAGGTTTGTTGGTTTGTTTGAAATTCTTCTATTTAGAGAATACTACTACTTCCCTTTCTTTTCTTGGTTTCCTGCTTTAACTGGCCAACTTCCTAGCCTCGCTGATAAACCCTGCCAAGCATAACTTATTTTTACAAAGCTGAATTTAGATCTTTATTAAAGTATTATAAATCCCTCATCTATAAAATGGGGATAATATTGGTATCATATCTCATAGGGTTGTTGTATTAAATGAATCAATACATGTAAAGCACTTGGAACAATGCTAGTTGTACTCTGTAAGTGTTAGCTATAATTATTATTTTTCCATAAGTGAATAAATTTTGTTGTGCAATGTGATTAGTTGCCACATCTATTATTGAAAAGGAAAACTGGGAATTGTTTTAAACCATCTAATCATAAAATAGCATTTAAGAAGAAGCTAGCTCCCTAAAATGAGATCATTTTCTTCATTTTTAGAAAACAAACCAATAATTTCCAAAGTGTCTTAAAACAGAGACTGCTGCAAAGACAGTCAGATTAAGCAAAGCTGGGCTCAGTGTCCAATGTACAAGCTACTTACAAATAACTAAGAAGAAAAAGTAGTAAAGAATTGCTAGACAAAAAAAAAAGCTGGCCTGGATATACATGTCACATACAATTAAAGCTAAAAATCTATCCTTTGCCATCTATGTAAAGTAAAATGAACTTCTGTTCCTTGCAACATCACACAAAAATGGCAAGAGAGATTTTAATCACATCTGAAGAGACTATTTGCATGGTCTCATTTAAAATACTAACCATATGAAATTGTTTTTGATGGTCCCCTGATGGCTGGGATGGAAGTGCAGTGGTAATCAGTCATTTTTCTTCATTCAGAGTGATATGGTAACGATTACAGTTAGTTCAGTTTATAAATTAATATTGTTTAGACTTAGATCACAGTTACATGCATGGGGCCTCCAGATATTTATTGATTTTTCAAAATGATTTTAACTTCTTATTTTTTTGTAGATTCATAGAAAATATTAAATTGGACTAAATCCCATCCTAGATATCAGAAGGTCTTACTTGTATATTAGCAAAACCTAAAAATGTTTTCATTTTACAAGTATCCTAAAAGTCAGTCAAAAGGATACCTATTTGACTATGAAAACAACCTCTGTGGTAGATTGTATTACTGTTCCCAAATATTTTTGTCCCTCTCAATGGGAGGTCTTTACTTCCTCACCTTGTTAAATGGCAGGCTTGGCCTTATGCCTTTGTTCAACGAAATGTGAACGGAAGTAATGTAGGCCGCTGCTGAGCAGATAATGTGAGTCATCACTTGGTTCTATCATCTCTCTTTTCCTTTTGGTACATGAACAGCAGGTTCCAAAGAGGGGATGATTCCTTTACCTGGGTCCCAGATTGATGGAACAAAGCTGAAGATGACTGTGATTGACAAACAACATGAAGAGAAATAAACCTTACTGTAAGTAATCTCAACTTGGGCATTATTACCATAGAATGACTTACGTTGACTGATATATCATCCAACTTGTGAAAATTTGGCAGCCATGAGACTAATAT